TTGGTTGGTTAACTCTTTCCCTAAAACCCTCACTTCTCAATTCCTCTCTGGGTGAATCTTATCTGAAGCCTCAGTACATCTCCTCTGCTTAGCAGCGTGGGATCTGAAAAGGTTTTGCTTCCTCTCCTCCTTCAGCTTCCATCTCTGTGTGTCCCACCAGTCTTCATAAGGAAGAAACAAGTAGGTTTTAGTTTGAAGAAACATTGTTTTCCTCATTCTGTTACACCAATAGTGTGCTACAAGTCAGAGGGGGTGACATACTTCCTGGGTTGGGACAGTCCTGGTTTCACCTGTTCGCTTGGAGTAATCTTTCATAGTGCTCCCTACTATGGTTTAGATGAGGTATCCCTCAAAAGCTCATGTGTGAGAAAATGCAATAAAGTTTGGAGCTGAAAAGTTTGGGTTATTGGGGTTATAACTTAATCAATACGTTAATCACCTGACAGGGATTAACTAGGTGGTAACTATAGGCAAGCAAAGTGATTGGAGGAGGTGGGTCATTGAGGGGTGTGCCTTTGTATAAATATTTTGTCCCTGATGAGGGAAATCTCTTTGCTTCCTGGTTGCCATGTTCTGAGCTGCTTTCCTCCTTCATGCCCTTCCGCCATGATGTCCTGCCTTACCTCGGGCCTCGAGCAATGCAATCAGCGGTCTAGGGACTGAGACCTCTGAAACTGTGAGCCTCAACCTCTGAAACTGTGAGCCTCAAAATAAACTTTTCCTCTTCTAAAATTGTTCTGTTTGTCCCAGCAGCTAAAAAGCTGATTAAAATACCCCTTTACCTTTCAAAATGCTCTGGCTTACACCACAAATCATGATTACTCTAGGCAAGCAAACATACATGTGACCTTGAAAATGTATCATAGACATGTCAATATCAAAGCAAAAGGGAAGACAAGACAGCAGTTGGAATAACTGGGTACAAATTTAGATTTTTTTGGGGGGGAAAAATGACTTTAGCTTACTCATTTGGATATACTGACCTGCAGGGAACTGGTCTATTCTGGTTCCTTTACTGTCTTGAGCTAAGGCCCTGACCAATATGTCTGGGGTTTTGGCAGTGAATAAAGAGGTTCACTTTGAGACAGCCACAACATGGAGCAGAAACCAAGGATAGCAGACACACCTGTCTATCAGGTATCAGCAAAGATAAACATAATTGCTACCCAAACAATCAGGAGCTACTTCACCTCTCTCTTCCTGCCATGACATTCCCAACACTTATTCCCAAGGAAAGAACCCTGCACCCAGAGGGAGAGTAAAGCCTTCTCAGTCTGCTAAGGGAAGTTCAATGATGCCCTTTCTCTATCATATCTCTGGGAATTCTGAGGTTTTTTTTTTTTTTTTTTTTTTTTTTTTTGATTTATTTTTTGAGGGGACAAACCATTTAGAGAGAATACCCATCACATAAATAGCTTTATTGTTCTATAGTACTGGGAGGTTGGAGTGTGAACTTTAGTCAGG